TCTTTCTCACAACTCCCTCCCACCTCACCTCGCCCCCCCTCCCACCCCTGCGCTTTGCAACTTCCTCGTCATTATTACGGGACGAAGAGGAACGAGTTTGATTTGTGTACGACATAGGATCAGAGTATAATATTACAGAGGGTTTGTAACACTGTAAAACCCTCTGATAATACAAGGGTTAAGAGAACTGGCACAAGCGCAATCATAAAGAGATAGACAGTGAATTAGCAGGATAATGCAACAGTGAACACGTTGTATCGGCATGAGCTAGAGATTGAGGAGAGAAAGGTGGGGATTGGGGGGGGGGCAGCTCAGGGGACATTCGGGGGCTGGGGGGCACATGGTCCGGGAATCGTCATGGCCTCATTTGGAACTGGGAGGGAACTCAGGGTGAGAGATGGTTGGGGGAGGGTCATTGACATGGGCATCATACAAGTGTGTGCTCCGGCCAGTGATGCGGAGGTGGAGAGTAGAGATGACTTCTGCGGCTGCCTTCGGAGCGTCATCGACGGACTTCCGGGTGGGGACATCGACGTTGTTGTGGGAGATCTGGGTGCGAGGGTGGGTTCGGACAATGGTCGCAACGGGGAGGTCGTGGGCAGACACGGATTGGGAGAGGCAGGTGACAACGGAGAGAGGTTCCAGGGCTTCTGTACATTCAACAACTTGGTCATTGGAGGTACAATCTTCCCACATAAAAGGATTCACAGGGCCACTTGGGTCTCCCCGGACGGAGCAACGGAAAACCAGATTGACCACTTTTGCATCTCCCGAAAGTTTGGACGCTCACTGGAGGACGTCCAAGTCTTACGAGGAGCAGACGTCGCATCAGACCACCATTTGATCCTTGGAAAGATGAAACTAAGGCTGAGAAGATGTGCGTAGGTCACAGCTGGAAGTCGTCTAGGGTATGAAGTGAGCCTTCTGAAGACCCAGTAAAGAGGAGTGAGTTCGGGTTGGAACTGGGGGGCAGATTTCAGGCCCTTTGGGATCTGGACGAATGTGAGGTCAACGAACACTGGGATAAGATAAGAGAGGCAGTAAATGCAACTTGCCAGAGCACCCTAGGACCCAAAGACAACACCAGGAATGAATGGATTTCACAAGACTCTCTAGACAGAGTCAAAAGAGGAAGAGAGCTGAGGGCCCGGGTCGACAGCAGCCGGACCCGAACTGAGAAACTCGCTGCACAACAAGAGTACACCGAAGTAGACCGGGAGGTAAAGAATTCCATCAAGAAAGACAAGAATACCTACCTGAATGGCCTGGCCGAAGGGGCTGAGAGGGCGGCAACAGACAGGCACTTACGGATTGTAAGCCAGACTACAAGGGTTTTTCAGGTAGGTTCGGCAGGCCCACTCTGCCGGTGAAAGACAGGGAGCGAAAGACTGTCTTCAACCCAAGGGGGCAACTTGACCGATGGAGGGAACTCTTTGATCAACTATTGAACGGACCACCTCCGGAGGACCAACCGGAGATTCTTCCGGCCAGAAGTGGCCTCCCAATGGTCACGGAACCACCTTCAGGAGAGGAAATTGCAGCCGCTATAAAGACACTGAAGTCCCTCAAGGCAGCTGGTCCGGACCATATGCCACCGGAGGCCCTTAAGGCAGAGAAAGATAGGTTTGTGGAAGTTCTCTATGCTCTGTTTGAAAAAGTTTGGCAAAAGGAGGAGGTGCCATCAGACTGGAAGGAAGGCCACCTAATCAAGCTGCCAAAGAAAGGAGATCTCAGCAATTGTAACAACTACAGAGGCATTACACTCCTGTCCATACCTGGGAAAGTCTTCAACAGAATACTCCTGGAGAGAATTGAGCTGGCAATAGATGAGAAGCTTCGAGGAAACCAGGCAGGATTCCGCAAAAACCAATCGTGTGTGGACCAGATCGCTACTCTGCGTATCATTGTTGAGCAATCACTTGAATGGAACTCTCCACTCGTGGTCAACTTCATTGACTATGAAAAGGCGTTTGACAGCGTGGGCAGGGAAACTCTGTGGAAACTCATGCGGCATTTTGGAATACCTGAGAAAATCGTCAAGCTTGTGAAGGCCACCTATGATGGAACAAACTGCCAAGTCTTCCACGAAGGACAACTCTCAGAGCCATTCCAGGTACAGACAGGAGTGCGACAAGGATGCTTGCTCTCACCTTTCCTCTTCATACTGGCAATTGACTGGGTCATGAAGGAAGCCACCAGAGGTAAACTTAATGGAATACAATGGATCCCTTGGCAGCAGCTGGACGACTTAGACTTCGCCGATGACCTTGCGGTGCTCTCCCACACACATGCTTGGATGCAAGAGAAGACCAAGGAACTCAACAGGCTATCAAGGAGTGTTGGCCTACGTATACGTCCGGGCAAGTCAAAAGTAGTGAAGCTAGGAAAAGTTTCAAGCCCTGCTGTGACAGTGGAAGACACTCCCCTGGAAGAAGTGGACTCCTTTACCTACCTTGGAAGTGTCATCGATGGTAAAGGTGGAACAGAGGCAGACGTTAAAGCAAGAACCGCCAAGGCAAGGTCAGCCTTCAAGCAATTATCAAAAGTCTGGAAAGCAAACAACATCTCGCTGCGCACCGGGATTCGACTCTTTAGCTCCAACGTCAAGTCTGTGCTCCTCTGCGGCTGCGAAACTTGGAAGACAGCGAAAACAGTACTGAATAAAGTCCAGACTTTCATCAACAGATGTATGAGGAGTATTCTAAGGATTAAGTGGCAGGATAGAATAAGAAATGAGGAGCTGTGGGAAAGGACAGGACAGGGGGATATAGAGGTAGAAATAGGACTGAGAAAGTGTCGATGGATGGGACACACCTTAAGAAAGCCCAGCGGAAACATCACAAGACAGTCACTGCAGTGGAACCCACAAGGAGCACGAGGCAGGGGTGGGCCACGGGAGACATGGGGGATATGCGTGGAGAGGGACATGAGAGAAATGAAGCTCGCTTGGAGCGGGCTTGGAAGGATGGCTCAGGACAAAGATAAATGGAAGGAGCTTGTATGTGGCCTATACCCTGCCAGGGGTGAAAGGCATTGATGATGATTGATGATTAGCTACCATAATACACTCTGTCAGTCATACTTAGGCCAATCCATACCTTGATGTTATCGATTCACATTGTTCATTGTCCACCCTTTGCTCTTTTGCATCACATCTCGCCTTTGAGCGTTTCCTTTGTAATGGTCTGATGGCGTTTTATATGACAAAGTATTGTATTTTCCTACTTTTCATTTTGTTAAGCAGGGTTTGTCTTTTGTCGAGATTCTGACACGCCTCATTGTTAGCCTTTTGTTGCTTTCTGGCTAATTCTGGCCATTGTGCAGTAGCAACACATCTCAAACATAGATACTTTGTTGTTTTTCTTTCTTTTAAAAGCTCAAGTCTCAGTGCCATATTGGAACAAGGGAAAGATGTAGATCTAGCAATCCACCAATTTCTTCTTTAAAGTTAAAGGTAGAGATAATTGCCTAGATGTAAATATAGTATGTGCAGTTGGCTCAGGCTGATACTTGATTTTTAATTTTCTGTTCTTATATATTTATTTATCGATTCTCAGCATTACTTTTGATCATATTCTATTCAGGAGACTTGGAGCTACAACTCAACAGCAAAGTTTTGTTAATGTTATTTTACTTTATGGTCTTTTTAAACACTACTCGTATGTTTTGTTCTCACAGGAAGCAATAATGTCTGTCTTGGATCACAAAAACATTGACAAAGATGTTCCATACTTCAAGTCCAATGTCAGGTATGTGATTTGTATTTTGGGAATGCCTCTCAATCTTAAAAGACCTGACTTTTCTTCTTTGAGAGTTTATGGGTTTGGATTTTTGCATAAAAACTTCATTTAATTTTGATTTTATTTTAAATTGTCTTATTACAGTGTTGTGTTTCCTTTACTGGTGAATCATTGCTTAATCTTGAAATCAGTACCAAATTGTGTGCTAAGTTTTAGACATATGGTGGAAGGTATAGAAACATAGATGTTTAGATATCTAAGAATTCTTGATCAAGATTTCATAATGTTAAAATGAATTTCATGAAGAGTGAATGATTTGTTCTTTAGCTTTTTTCTACTTTTTTGTGATTTGTGATTGTTTCATCTTTTAAAGATTAGAGTTTTCTTTTCATTTGTAATGCAGCTTATCAAGACAATGAACTGCAGAGAAGATTTTAGTTCAATTGAGTTTGAAGACGTAATGGAAAAATGCCAAGCCTTGTATTTAAATTTCTCATATAAGGTTGCAACTTACTTGTGCTTATTTTCTGATCTTCCCACAGCACCATGGAAAATATTGCAGTGTTTATTTGGGATAATATGAAAAAGAATCTGGGCAATCTTCTATACGAAATCAAGCTCCATGAAACGGACAAAAACGTGACCTGGTACCGTGGAGAGAAGTCAGTGGTGGGAAAGTGAATTTCAACTTGTTGTTCTTGTATCATAGATTTTGTTTCATGTACAGAACATTTTGCCAATAAGAGCATTGTTGTCCTAGTCCAAACATGTTGCTGTGAATCGAGATTCTTATTTACATGTGAGATTTTCATTAATGAAATTGTGATTTATCCTTTATTTACAACATTCCATGGTGAAAAAAAATTATTCTCATTTTGAGTACTGTATTTGCTCATGTTGGTACTTAAAAGTACTAAACCACTACCACTGAGTTCATCAACTTGTGAATGGTTGGGAATGTGATTATTAAAATAATTTCATTAGTTGGAGCCAAATAATCTCCTATTTAAAACCAGTGTACAAAATTTTTTTGTCGTTGTTGTCCGTCCAGCAGCCTGTGAGAGTTTGCTGTGTGGCCCAGTGCCAGCCATGTTGTTGAAGGCAGGAGTTTTGATAGTACTGGATGGCCATTGGCGGGTTGTATTGGGCCGGGTCGGGTTGATTAATAGCAGCTTTAGTGCATGCTACAAATAGACCCCTCCCTTTTTGTGTCAAAATTGACCCAGAAGTTAAAGAAGAGAAAACTTTGACCACTCACAACAGACATTTCCATAAGTAATGACTTTAAATGCTGACTGCGACACATCATGGTTGCTGTGTTGAAAGGTTCTTGAATCCCACAGACATTGGAAATGTCAATAGCTTTCTAGTTTTATCAGTCTCAGTCCTTCCAAATCTACACTGTTCATTACTGTATTCCGTGCGCAAAAAAATATGGCTCTGACCTCGTAACTCATGGGCTACAAGCCTTGTGATTGGCTATACACTTATCTCCAGTTTGACTTGCGTCTTTGAAAAATAAACACATTCTATTTTGAGGGTCAC